AAAACAAAAAAACAAAAAAAAAAAGAAAGAAAGAAAAAAAAAAGCAGGAGATTTCCCCTATTTTCTCTGAGCTTTTGGCATTCCTTTTTCTGTTCTTTGGACCAAAAATGAGTTGAAGTTCCTCTGTTTACACCTGGTGTTTACTTTCATGTTTCAAGGTGCTCTTGAGTCTAGATGAGGTAATATCTGAGGGGGAAAAAAATGGGACACTCACTACTGGCTTGGTAGTAGTTTAAACCCTAGTCTCTTTCCCGGTGTCCTCATTATCATTTACTTTCAGAGTTTCCAGAAAGCTACTCCATGCATTCTATCTAGAGTTTATATTTGTATTCAGTGGGGAGACAAGATTGCCCAGAACTAGAACTCCCAAGATTTACACTTTTTTTCTTTTTTTTCAATATCTTCATGACATTCAGACAATTTATATTTCTTAAACATTTGTTACACAATTAATTTCTATTCATTGAGGAAATTTAGAAGATGCAAATAATTTTAAAAGGAAAAAGAAATCACAAGATGAAAGATTCGAAATTCCTATATTGAAAGTATATAATAAAATACCGTGATTACTTTTTCCAAGAAAAAGAGGAAAGAGAAGCCCTAAGGGAGAGGTGTATACATGGCATAGCAGTAGAGAATTAAGTGAGGGCTTTTATATTTCTTACTCAGGGGTTTATGCATGGATTGGAATCAACTTTGTTTTGGGAAGATTCGACCATGAGGATGGTGAGTAATATGTCTTTTTATGACAATTTACCTAAGGGCTGAAGGTTTAAGTTATAACCCATCAGTAGCATGTAAATGCAATTTTTGAGTTGTTTTTCTTTTTTCAAACATAAAATGCTTCACTTTCCAGTCCTAATTTGCTTTCTTTTATTTCTTTTTAACTTTTTAATATGGAAAGTTTCAAACATTCACAAAAGTAGAATAATAAAATGAACCTCCATGGATCCATTACCCAGACTCAATGTTTACTAATGTTTTGCCATTTCTTCCCCATCTCCCCCCATGTATCAAAGATTTTTTTTTCTCATTGGATGTTTTAAAAAGCAAACCTCAGACATGTAATTTTTATTTTCATGTATGTCAGTGTGTATCTACAACAGATAACGAGTTTCAAAATGAACAAAAAATATATCCATAATGCCATTTTTAAACTTAACAGAATTAACAATTTCTAATATCATACAATACCCATCTAATACCCTACCCAGGTAAAGATTTTCCTGATTTTCTCAAGAATGTTTATTTGTAGTGGGCTTGTTCAAATCAGAATCTGAACAAGGGTCATGCATTGCATCTGGTTAATATGTCTCTTTAGTCTCTTTTAATCTATAATGCTTGATCTTACCACCTCACTCCCCTGCCTTTAAAACCAAGAAAAAATTGGATCCTCTAGTAGAAAGAATTTGCCACATGCTGGATTTGATTGACTGCATCTTTGTGGGGTTAACATGTTTTCTTTAACATGTTTCTTATCCCCTCACATTGTCCTTTAAACTGGAGGTCAGATACAGATGTTTGATTAGACTCAGATTCAATTCCATCTGCAAGACTAAATCATAGAAGGTGCTGTGTGTTTCCCACTACTCACATCAGGAGTTTTGTAATGTCTGGTTGACTTACTTTTTGTCATGCTCAGACTGATCAGGTACTGAGGGTTCAAGTATTATCAGCCTGATCTAATTTAGTATTAAAATTCCTTATCTGCCTTTCATGGAATGGTTGTAATAGCCGATTGTGATCATTGCTTAGATATGTTTTTCATTAGAGATTGCAAAATGGTGATATTTCTAATTCTGTCATTCCTTCTGCATTTAACAGCTAGAATTTTTATGTAATGAACTTTGCTTGATCAACTCTTTGGTTACCCTGACATATAGTTCTTATGGGAAAGAATAAATTCTTGATTCTTTTTATTTATCACATTTCTGAATAATGAGTTGGTGTCTAGCAACTTCCAAAGGTAACCAGTGAAAAAAAAGTTTTTATTACTATTATGAACTCATGGATTTTAATATATTAGATGCATTAGAGTCCATCACAGTATCACTATTTTTAGGAGCATCTTTAGGTTGGCTCCTGTGTCCTTTTAATATGACCCCAATACTCTTTTATATTCCCCTTGCTATCTGGTACAGCAATGTATTCCAGGGTCATCTTGTATACTTTCTACCCTAGACCTGGCATTGGCCTGTTTTTAAAAGAGCCCTGGTTTCTTTTAGTAAAAGATGGTATTTAGAGATTATTGGTCCAGATACCACAGGTGGTGATTACTCCTGGGATATCATTGCTTCTAGGCCTTTTCAGTGAACAGAGCTAGGAAATACATATTTTTTAGAAACAGAAAAATAAATCATGAGTTCATAGTCATATTTCTGACTTGTATTTAAGATTATAGGGTGTTATTAATTATCTGATTTTTATACCTATATCCTTTTTGTTCTGTTATGCTGAATCTTTGCTACTAAGATTTGACTAAACATTTTTTGTTTATTCCACAATATACTTTATAATATATATATACTATTATTATATATATATATTTTTTTTTTTTTTTTTGAGCCAGAGTCTTGCTCTATCGCCCTAGGCTGGAGTGCAGTGGCGTTGATCTTGGCTGCACTACAACCTCTGCCTGTCGGGTTCAAGAGATTCTTCTGCCTCAGCTTCCCGAGTAGTTGGGATTACAGGCGTGTGGCACCATGCCCAGCTAATTTTTGTATTTTTAGTAGAGAAGATTTCACCATGTTGGTCAGGCTGGTCTTGAACTCCTAACCTTGTGATCTGCCCGTCTTGGCCTCCCTTCATAATTTTTAAATAATAAAACCAATAATATTGTTAACAAATAAGACTACTGGGATGTAGCGTAAGATATTTGCTTCTTTTGTGCTTAGGCTATATCCCACTAGGGATACGTAGTCAAAATGTCATGTTAAGTAATTTGCAAGAATTATTCTTTGTGCAATATACAGTTGATTCAGTTGGTATACTTGTTTGCTTTCTATTTTTTATTTTGAGACAGGTTCTCTGTCACTGAGGCTAGAGTTCAGTGGCACAATAATAGCTCACTGCAGCCTCAAACTCTTGGGCACAAATGATCCTCTGGCCTCAGCCTCCTGAGTAGCTGGGACTACAGGTGTGCATCACCATGCCCAGCTAATTAAAAAAACAAACAAACAAACTTTTTTTATGGGAGTGTCTCACTATGTTGCCCAGGCTGGTCTTGAAGTTCTGGGCTCACGTAATCCTCCCACCTTGGCCTCCCAAAGTGCTGGGATTACAGGTGTGAGCCGTGGTTTCAAATTTTTAAGGGATTGCTGTTTTGGGGGTTCGACTTAATTTTGTTTTTTAATTACTAGAGCCTTTTTGTTCTCTTATTTATTTCAGAATCAGATGCTGAGGCTACCCAGGAATTGGCAGCAGGACGGAGAAGGACAGTAGGGATACTGGATATGGGAGGAGCCTCTCTCCAAATTGCTTATGAAGTTCCTACCTCAACCTCTGTCCTTCCTGCAAAGCAGGTACTTTAGCTTTTAGGGAAATTTAGCTGCTAGGAATGCTAATATTTGATAAGGAAGGACACTGTCTTTGGACTTAGACCAACCTGCCTGGCTCTAAATATTTGTTCAGATACTTGCTAGCTTGCGTTATCTTGAATAGGTTACCTCTCTGAGCCTCAGCTTCCTCCTGTGTGAAAAAGGGATAATAATAGTATCTACCTCATAAAGTTGTGAGGATGAAATAATACCATGTTTGTAAAGCATTTAGCAAACTGCCCAGCATATGATAAGTGTTCGATACATTTTAACAATTATAACTATACTAGGTGTCTCCTGCCATTGCCTGAGGATAAACATGATAATGCATTTACATTGTGGAGCACAATGTTTGATACATATCCATTGTTCAATAAATGTTATTCCCTTTCCCCTTACTGATGATTCCACTCTGGGACTTCTAATAATCCTTACCCCACTAGAATGTAAAGAATGTATTTTGAGATTCAGAGGTTCTAAGATGGCCGAATAGGAACAGCTCCAGTCTACAGCTCCCAGTGTGAGCGACGCAGAAGACAGGTGATTTCTGCATTTCCAGCTGAGCTTTGAAGAGAGTAGTGCTTCTCCCAGCATGGAGTTTGAGATCTGAGAATGGACAGACTGCCTCCTCAAGTGGGTCCCTGACCACTGAGTAGCCTAACTGGGAGGCACCTCCCAGTAGGGGCTGACTGACACCTCACACGGCAGGGTGCCCCTCTGAAACGAACCTTCTAGAGGAACCATCAGGCAGCAACACTTGCTGTTCTGCAATATTCCCTGTTCTGCAGCCTCCGCTGGTGATACCCAGGAAAAAAGGGTCTGGAGTGAACCTCCAGCAAACTCCAACAGACCTGCAGCTGAGGGTCCTGACTGTTAGAGGGAAAAACAGAAAGGACATCCACACCAAAACCCCATCTGTATGTCACCATCATCAAAGACCAAAGGTTAATAAAACCACAAAAACCAGAGCAGAAAACCTGAAAATTCTAAAAATCAGAGCACCTCTTCTCCTCCAAAGGAATGCAGCTCCTCGCCAGCAATGGAACAAAGCTGGACGGAGAATGACTTTGACGAGTTCAGAGAAGAAGGCTTCAAACGATCAAACTTCTCCAAGCTAAAGGAGGATGTTCAAACCCATTGCAAAGAAGCTAAGAACCTTGAAAAAAGATTAGATGAATGGCTAACTAGAATAGCCAGTGTAGAGAAGACCTTAAATGACCTGATAGAGCTGAAAAACATGGCACGAGAACTACGTGATGCATGCACAAGCTTCAGTAGCCAATTCAATCAACTGGAAAAAAGGGTATCAGTGATTGAAGATCAAATGAATGAAATGAAGTGAGAAGAGAAGTTTGGAGAAAAAAGAGTAAAAAGAAATGAACAAAGCCTACAAGAAATATGGGACTATGTGAAAAGACCAAATCTACATCGGATTGGTGTACCTGAAAGTGATGGGGAGAATGGAACCAAGTTGGAAAACACTCTTCAGGATATTATCCAGGAGAACTTCCTCAACCTAGAAAGGCAGGCCAACATTCAAATCCAGGAAATACAGAGAACACCACAAAGATACTCCTCAAGAAGAGCAACTCCAAGACACATAATTGTCAGATTCACCGAAGTTGAAATGAAGGAAAAAATGTTAAGGGCAGCCAGAGAGAGAGGTCGGGTTACCCACAAAGGGAAGCCCGTCAGACTAACAGCAGATCTCTCGGCAGAATCTACAAGCCAGAAGAGTGGGGGCCAATATTCAACATTCTTAAAGAAAAGAATTTTCAACCCAGAATTTTATATCCAGCCAAACTAAGCTTCCTAAGTGAAGGAGAAATAAAATCCTTTACAGACA